TATTTGCACCCATGGAAGCAAAAGCAAAAGAACTATTTATGGAACGAATATTTTCCATGGAATTTTTACTGTCAGAATCTTCGTTTGTCATTAATCTTTTTAAATATGCCGGGTAATCTGGAAAATGTATATCATTTGGATAGACTTTCCCTTTGCTACAACATCGAGTAAATTTCCATCGGATGGTTTTTCATCAGAGAAATTTAGTGATAGGCAATATTCACATGTAACAGTGATTCCACCACAACTATGTTCAAGGATTGCATCCTCAAATACTCCCATTTTTGCTGAGAAGGCAGTTCCTACCAGTACTGGTAGTACTTGTTGATGACTGTTCTCTAGACATATTCTGTCGTCGCCACCGCCTTCTTTCAACTTCAAAGGCACGTTGGTCTTTAGACATTTTCTGTCGATGACACCAGTGTTTTTCGGCATCAGAGCAACGTTTTTCCAGTAGCTGCTCTTCAGGTACATCAGTCGCAGGCGCCGCCTTCTTTCAAGATCAGATGCACGTTGCTCTTCAGAGCTACGTTGTATCAACAGTTGTTCTTTAGACATAGTCCCACCTCTCTACTGTCATGGTCTGAGATGCAGATGAATGAAAGTCCTGGCTGTCAGGCCGCTGAGAGCTGTCTGACCAACTGCTGATTCCGTAGGGGTGGGACTTCCTCCTCCCTGCTGTCAGTTTCCACAGCTGTGATGAGGAAGCTGGGGTGACAGAGGAAGACACGCACTCCAAGCCGCCCTCTCTCTCGCTCTGCTCTATGTCCAGCGGCCTCCTGCTCTGCCAAGTCCTCCAAACCTCCCACTCTCCACCCGCTCTCCCACTCTGCTCTCTACCAGCGAAGGTCCCGGCTACGGCCTTGCCTCCCGGGGCCAGCAAAGGCCCGGGAGTCAACGGGCATGGCTAGGTGCGGCCGGCCTCGCCTCCCGGGGCCAGCAATGGTCCTGGGAGCCCGCAGGCGTGGCTTGGCTCGGCCAGCCTCACCTCCCAGGGCCGGCAATGGTCCCAGGAGCCTGTGGCCGCTGCCGTTGCCTCCTGGGGCCCTTGACACCTGTGTATGCAAATTAGCCCACCATCTTTGTCAGGTTAATTTGCATACCCACTCTGGCTGGTGAGCGTAGCAGAGGGATGGTTAATTTACATGTTTCTCTTTTATTATATAGGATGCTCTTCAAATTCATACCTGCTGCTACTTAACACAAAACAATTCAGTTTATGTACATATATGGATTTTAGGTGTGTGTCTATACGTATCCCACACCTAGTCCCCATAATTTTCAATGAGCTACTCCTCCAAATAAACATCCCTATGGACTACTCTTTTTCTTGTTTAGCAATTTCTCTTAACAGTGGTTTTCAGATAGGAATATGCAGAAGTACATGGGAGACTACTAAAAGAACAGAGAGCTCTGGTTCACTCTGAACCTATAGAATCAGGATTTTTGAAAGTGGAGCACAGACATACTTGTTTTGTTTAAAATTTCCTTGGGAGATTAGGAAATACTATTTTATTTCCCTTTAATAAGTGCAAATAATGTTCCTTTAGGGAGGGGGAAAGGAATCATTTTTTATAGTGCTTGGTAAGACAATAAATAATTATGTATGCGTTAAAATCTAAATTTGTAGTTAAATGTTTGTATATTTAACCCCTAGAGTGCCGGGGAGCCCAATCGCGCTCCTCCTGTCTTTTGCCAAAAGTGCCGGGAGTGCTTTATTTTAACATTATATGTGTTGTTCAAATTTTTTTTTCTACTAGTATTTTGTAATACAATCAGCAAACAATATATGTCAAAGATGAAAACAAATGTAGTAAAGGTTTCCTTAAGTTTTTGAATATGTAACTTCATTTACTTGCAATTCATAATTATTTTCCTAAACTGCTGTAAAATCAGCAAAAATGAATTGGCAATTTTAGCATAGTTCCTAGGATATTGGTTGGCACTCAAAGGGTTAATATAAACTTGATGCTGTAATTTATACCAAGGAGACTGTAATAAGATTCTCAGATATAGTTTTGCTAAATAAAATGCATAAAACAATCCAAAGGTCAATTTTATTTGTATTTATAAGCAATAAACATATTTTTTAAAATTTAAAATCCATTTTACAATAACAATAAAAGTATGTTAAGTACTTAGGAATAAATTTTTAAAAATGTATAAGGCCATTGGAGAAAAATGTCAAGCTACATTTTAAAACCTTAAAATATATCTAAGTAATAAAAAAAAGTCCATGATGTTAAAGATGGCAAGTCTCCCCAAACATACCTACAGATTCAATTCAGTTTTAATAACAATCCAAACAGGAATTTCAATAGAATTTTTCATTGAAGTTAATTAAGAACTACAACTAGTCAAAAGATTGCTATGAAGAAACTGAAAACACAGGCTCCAAACTGAGAGATCTACCCAACACATATAATTAAAATCTATAAATATGTAACAATGCATTTTGCAGAAGAGAAAGATGGCATAAACACATTTTTCCTATTCCTCCAGATAAATATGGCTAAAACCCTAGACATTCTATATAAAACAACCATAAAAAGACTGAAGACTGTAAAAGGTAGAGAAAAGGTGGCAGACCAGCTAGAGACCTCAGAACCCAAGGAACCTAGGTTTTCTTTTAGCCTTCTATAATAAAGTGGGTGTTGATGAAGCCATCATACCCAAAACACTAACAGGTGTAAAACAACAAAAAAACTCACAGAAGCATGCTTCCTCTATCCAAAGGACCAGGGAAAGGGCAGCCTAACAAAATAGAAAACTTTTAAACAGTAACTGCTCTACTCCACCTGATGGGGGGGAGGGGGGAGGGGAGATGCACTCCCCTTTCCCGCTATCAGAGACTGGTGGGAAGTCTAGACTTCCACCTTGGCCAAACAAAAACAGGTGCCCTTAACTATCCCCTGCTGGGCATGTCAGAGAGCTCTGGTGAGAGCTGAGGCTTTGATCCCCATTAGGTTGTAATGAGGCCCCTTGCAGTCTCATTGGAGACCATATGAGTGAATCCAACAGTTAATAGTAAATATGTTTAGGTACTATATAAAGTCTAGAGTTGTAGGTATAGATAAGCTTTATTTAAATGTTTCAATTGCTTTGGTTGTCACATAGTTTATAGTCAAAGATTTAAAAAGTATGTTAGTCAGATCCTAGAGGCCTGCTGTAAAGCAAGTTCCAAGAAAAACATGTTTAAAAGTATGCTTTGCTTGAGATAACATAAATGTAGCTAGTTAAGTATAAAGCAATTGACAGCTTAAACAATAACAAAGTTCACAAAATGTTCAGTTTCTGTCCTCTGCTTTGAAGATTACATCACTGATGCACAATCATGAGATATTTTGCAGAATCTTGGTTCCTCAACCTGTTTAGATTACCTGCATACAGTTCTAAGGTTCCAGACAAGATGACATCAGAAACTAAATTAATCAGGCTAGAGAAAACCACTGAAGCTTGCACAAGAGTTGTTGGAGACCGGGTGTAAGCTGACACGGTCCTTGCACCTGAAGGGGCTAGCAAGGCTGGGACCCTTACCCACACAGTTTTTCCAGACTTGTTTGGATGGCGGTTATCAGTAGAATGAGAGCAAACTTTGTAGAATGAGAATAGCCTTTCATGGCTTATCAAGAAGTCTGTAACTATTTACTGAGATTTGCTGTACTGAGAATTTGTCCTTCTGCTCTGTCTCTCCCTTAGAGATTAAGAGGAACAACGAATACATTCCTCTTGACAGACCTCCTATTCAGTGTTTTGTGTATAAAAGGCATTGCGTGGTTAATAAACTTACTGCAGTTCCTCGATTGATCTGTAGTCCTCCCGATCCCGCTCTCCTGTCTTTCTTTCTTTTCTCAATTCCTACCTCCTTACCTCAGCCAGGTTCAACCTGTCAGGCTGGCCCTGACAAAGAGTTAACCAATCAGCTTCACCTGTGATTCCCTAACCCTCAATCTTTGTCTTTAAAAACCCTTGATTGAAAGTGACAGCTTCCCATTTCCTTTGCTTGGCACCCTGCAAATAAACAGCTCCAATTTCTCCACTGCAAACCTCGATGTTCAGTGTTTGGCTCTGCTGCACATTGGGCAGGCACACACCTTCATTCAGTTTGGTTACAGGAGCCTGAACTTGCACCTCCAGCATGGTAATGAGATACTCTTCCACCTCTATGTTGTGCTGGCATCAGAGGAGGCCTATTAGTCAGGACTTTTATTACTGCCTACCAGTAACCTCCTTTCCCTGCCCATGTGCCCACTCCTTAAAAGTGTCAATGAAAAACACATGGAAAGGAGTCAATAGGCACCCATAAACCCTACCAGCCAGGGATGTATCAATAGACGTCTACGGGGAGCCTGAACTTCCATGTTGTCCATAGTATGGAAAAGGCTGTTTCAGGTGTCACAGAGGCAGAAAATAATATAAGAGCAGAAATCAATGGAACTGAAAAGTCAATGAAACAAAAAACTGGTTATCTGAATAAGTCAATAAACTTAACAAGCTTCCAGCAAGACTGACAAGATAAAGGAGAAGATATAAAGGACCAAGAAGGAATGAAAAAGAGTATCACTACAGATCAAGGGACATAAAAAGAGTAAGGGAATACTAAGAACATGACTCACATAAATGTAACAATGTAAGTGAAATGAACCAATTCCTCAAAAAGCACAAACTACCACAACTTACCCAATATGAAATTAACTTGAATACCCCTATAAGTAAATGGCAGTTGGTTCTAAACAACTTAAGTGCAAAACTAACAAAACATGTATAGGATTTATATGCTGAAAATTACAAAATACTAATAAAAGAAATCAAAGAAGATCTAAATAAATGGAGACACGGTGTTCATGGATAGGCGTAATAAATGTAGCAAAAATGTCAATTCTCCTTAATACAATCTACAAATTTAACACAATTCCTAATATAATCCCAGCAACATTATTTTATAAAGTTAGACATTACCTTAAGACTTATATAGAAAGGCAAATGCATAACTAAATCAATATTGAAAAGAAGAACAAAGTAGAGAAATCACTCTATCCAATTTCAAAACTTATATAGCTACGATAATCAAGAATGTCTGATATTGACCAAGGGAAGGGAAGGGATAGACACATAGATGAATGAAACGAAATAGACAACACACAAGCAGGGCCACCTAATTTTTGACAGAGATGTAAAAGTATCTTTATGCTGACAAGTACAAAATGCTGATAATATACTTGCCCTAGCCAGTTTGGATCAGTGGATAGAGTGTTGGCCCACAGACTGAAGGGTCCCAGGTTCAATTCCAGTCAAGGCATGTACCTCAGTTGCAGGTTCAATCCCCAGCCCTGGCTGGCATGCATGCAGGGGCAACCAATCGATATGTCTCTCTCACATCTAAGTTTCTCTCTCTCTGTCTCTTATCCACCCCTTCCACTCTCTAAAAAAATCAATGGAAAAATATCCTCAGGTGAGTGAAAAATATCCTCAGGTGAGTATTAACAACAACAAAAAAATGCTGATAATATACTGTGTTCATGGGTTGGAAGACTCAGTGCAGTAAAGATGTTAAGTCTCCCCAAATTGATCTATAGCTTAAACAAGATTTCACTGTAGATATAGACAAGATTATTTCAAGATGTAGGGAAAACAAAAGGAACTGGAAGAACTAAAGCAATTTTGAAAAAGAAAAGGTGTGAAGAATCACAATCAATTTTAAGACATATAGATACTAGTGACCCGGTGCATGGATTTGTGCACATTGAAAGGAAATTAATTAGAAGGTGGCCAGTGGGGCCGGACTGGGTGAGATGGGCCAGACACACCCTGGAGCCAACCTCCGTTGGTCCCTCCCTGGTGTCTGTGGAGTGAGGGGGGGAGCCCTTGGGCAGGTGAGATCCCTCAGCCTGGCCTGTGGGGATCCTGCTGAAACCGGCTCTCTGACTTCCCCAGAAGGGTCCCGGAGTGCTAGAGGGCACTCTGCAAAGTTGCTGTCATACAGGGTGTGGAATGCAAACGTAAGTGTGCAGTAAACCAGATTCGGGGCTGACAGTGCCCCAGCAACAACATAACCCAAGGCCGAAGGTGGAATCGTGCGGCCCTGCGAGGAATCATGCTCCCTCCTCTCTGGTTCTAGGGTGCGTCACCCGAGAACCGCTGTTGCCAAGTCAATGCAGCTCGGCAGCTCCTGCGTTGAGCATCTGCCCGCCTGGTGGTCAGTGCGTGTCATAGCTACCGGTCAGTGTGTGCCATAGCTACCGGTCGGACGGACACTTAGCATATCAGCCTTTTATGTATATAGATAGTAATTGAGACAGGGTGATATTGGCAGAATAACAGCAGCATAGATAAAAGGAACAGAATAAAGCAACCAGAAATACATCCACACCAAGTAAGCCCAACTGATTTCTGACAAAAGTGTGAAAACAATTAAGTGGAAGAATAAAAATCTTTCAACAAATTGTGCTGGTACTCACAAAAAATTAAGCCTTAACCTAAACTTCAGATTTAATATAAAAATTAACTCAGAGTAGATCAGATTTAAATATAAAACATAAAAATTTTTAAACATTTAGAAGAAAACAGGACATCTTAAGGACCTAGAACTTATTGAAGAGTCCCTAGCCATATTAAAAACATAGTCCATAAGAGAAAAATATACATGAATTTGATTTCATCAAAATTTAAAATTTGTGCTCTGAAAAAGACATATAAAGAGGATGAAAAAACAAGTTCCACGCTAAGAGAAAATATTTGCAAAATACAGATCTGACAAAGGGTACATATCTACGAGAAATAAAGAACTCTCAAACTCAAAATAAAAAATCCTAATTAGAAAACGAACAAAAGACATGAAGAGACATTTCACTGATGATATACTCATGGCAAATAAGCACATAAGATGTTCCACATCACTAGCTATCAGGCAAATGCAAATTAAGATCATGATGAGATACCAGTACATAGCTAAAACAGCTCAAACAAAAAGTAGTAACAGCCTGGCCAGTGTGGCTCGGTGACTGAGCATTCACCCAGGAACCAAGAAGTCGCTGGTTCGATTCCCCATCAAGGCAATGTGCCAGTTATGGGCCCGATCCCCAATAGGGGCCATGCAGGAGACAGCAGGTCGATGACATTCCTCTCTCATTGATGTTTCTATCTCTCTATCCCTCTCCCTTCCTCTCTCTCTCTAAAAATCAATAAAAACATTTTTTAAAGTAATGACAATACCAAAAGCTGGTAAAAATTTGGAGAAATTGGATCTTTCAAACATTTCCAGTGGGAATATAAAATGGAAGAGCCGCTCTGAAAAACAGATTGGTATTTTCTGAAAAAAACTAAACATTAACATTTATCATATGAATCAGCAATGTCACTCCTTGGGCATCCCAGAGAATAAACTTCGGTTCACAAATCTGAACACAAACGTCTTAATTCAGTGCTATTCATAAGAGCACTATGGGAACCCTAATCAAAATAGGCCGGATGTCCAAGGCCAATTTGAGTGTGGGGGCCCTGTCCAGAATACGCTGGATATTCAAGGCCAATCTTAGCAAGGACACAGCGATTGTACTGTACACAATGCGCAGGTGCACCTTTCTATAACCCAAACATTGATGTCACTATTTGGCAAGAAGCTTCGTATGGTCTATAATAAAGACTCTACTATACACCTATGACTACTCATGTCTTCTCCGTCTAATACCTGGTGTCCATGGGGGTACAGCCCCTAGCAGAGAAGGACCTGTGCTCTAACAAGCACAAAACTTAAAACAGATCTCCTTAAATAACTTAATGGTCAAATAAACTGTGGTACATGCATACCATGAAATATTAGTCAACAATAGAGGGGAACCTACTACTGATATGTGCAACAAATTGGGTGGATCTTAAAGGTATCATTCTGCGTGGGGAGAAAAAGCTCATTTCAAAAGGTCACTTATGGATTAAAAATGGCGGCAGAGTAAGTGGATGCTATACAGACATGCTCCCACGAACAAACTAGAATTACAACTAAAATACAGAAAAACTTCCTGAATAATCAATAGAAAACTCACAGGAGAGAATCCTGATACCTGAGGACCGAAAGCGGAGACCACATAGAGACTGGTAGGAGGGGCAGAGGCGCGAAAGGGCTGGCCTGGCTGGGTGTACAAAGACAGCAACTGAAGTCCCAGAGAGATATCTAAGCTGTGTGGGGGTTGCCACTGAGAACTCTGGGGTCTAATTCCTAAGCTGAGCCACCCAGCAGAGAACACCAGAATTGAGAAGGGTACCCACATAACAGCTGGCTGTGAAAAGCAGTGGGGTACTCTCTGCCAGGGAGTGACAAGCTGAAAATCCAGGCATCCTCTTAAAGGGCCAACCCACAAAAGTCCCTGTGGAGCCACCCACCTTGTGCTCCAGCAGAGGAAAGGTGAAGTGGACTGGAGGTGTGAGAGCAGAAGTCAGGACTGGGGACTTGGGGGATAGAGCTCAGAAGGCAGACACCCCAAGTCCCCTGGGCTGAGTTATTCCCTCACACAGCAGAGGACCTCTTTCCCACATAGACATTTGCCTTGCCTGGGGGGAAAACAGTCAACACACCCTATTGGAAAACACCTGTCCTAAGGCCACTTAAGAGATTTAAAATAACAATTAGCCACTGGACAGTAGCAACTGCCCCACCCTGTTGGGGAAAAAAAACCTCTCCCCACACCTAAGAGGCAATTAAGTTAGAATCCCATCAGTCTGTAGGCAGAGGCAGTCTCCAGAGGCTTTGAGTTTTTGCCTAATCTAATTAGTCAGAAAGCTTTTGACGCTGTCCTGCACTAGAGATTGAGAGGTGTAACGTATCTACAGGCAGTCCTCAGGTTATGTCGGACTTGACGTACGTAGTTTCGTGGTTATGTTGCCATCTCCCATTTACAGTATTTACAAAATAGAAAAAAAAGTTCCGTCATTTCAATGTATGTACATATGTGCTTTATGATTTTTATTATTTATTTACCACAAGTAAAGGTCAGGAATTGTTAACTTTTTAATTTTTTTACTGTTTCACTTCATTACTGCTGCATATGTGCTCCATGTGAGAAACGTAGGTGCTTATGTAGGTGGGTTCCGACTTACAGCAAAAATCACATTACGTCATGCTGTAGAAACGGATCTCCAATGTAACC